ACAACTTACCCTATGATGGGGCAACATGTCACATGTTCACTCTCTATTTGATTGCTCATAGCTCTGCACTGATGCAAGATGTGAAAATTACATGAATAAAAAATATATACCTAAGACTGGTCTTTCATCTGGTACACATTTCTTTTTTTACATGATGTTTTGCTTCCAAAAAATATATATAAAAGTGTAAAAAGTGTGACAACAAGCCCCGGACTCCCTACCACAAATCGATGGAAGATACACGGCGAGTGTAAAATGTTGTGTTGGTAGAAGACCTTTCTGTCTGTTTTTACTCTTTTTGTCTTCATGGTTTTAATTGCATTGTTTGTTTGTGAACTGTTGTATTTAAACGCGCCAAATAAATAAATTGTTTGAAGTATACAAATGAACAGAATTTAAAGTTTACAGATGTTTCTAATGAAGTTCAACTTGTGTGCAAATGAAATAACAGAAAGAAATGATGAGAGCCTCTAATATCACTGAAACCTGCTGTTTTTACTTGTCTTTGATGACATGAAGTATCTTTTTTCTTTCACAGGACACCCCCGTGCACATTCCACTAGGTAGGTAAATAATCACTCAAATATATCAAAGCAGATTGAGAAAATATTTCTCATGTCTGTCTTTCTCCTTGCCATAGACCGTCTGACTGTGTCCTACAGCAGAAGCAGTGGTCCTGGGGGTCAGCATGTCAACAAAAGTAATTTAAACCCTTCACTTTCTCTAACATATTGTACATAATGTCRACTATAGTAATGTATCAATATCTACTCAGTACATTAGTACTGCAATCAGAAGAAGAACCTGTGTTTTTAATCCACAGCCAACACGAAAGCTGAGGTCCGATTCCACTTGCACACAGCGGACTGGATCCCTGAAGATGTCCGACAAAAAGTTCTGGAAAAGGTTTGATTGTCTTACTTCTTGACGACAAGCAGTCCCAACTGGTTTTCATTTATGTTTGCTGTCGACAGAACAAAAACCGTATCACTAAGGCCGGAGAGCTGCTGGTGACGTCTGAGGTGAGCAGGAGTCAGCAGAGAAACCTCTCTGACTGCATACAGAAGATCAGCGCCATGATAGCCGAGGCCAGTGAGAAGCCCCGCCAAGCATCGGCCGAAGACATCGCTCTAAGAGCAGCCAGGTGTTTAGAACGACGTCCATCTCTTTTATATGATGTTTACATATTTTATATGTTTATACATATAAAACGTGTCCTGCAGGTTGGAGAAGAGGAACAAAGAGCGACTCAGGCAGAAGAAAATCCATTCAGCCATCAAGCACAGCCGACGAGTGGATTTTGACTAATTGTTCTATTCAAATATAAATTATTTTTTATCACGTTGTTTGTCTTTGCATGCTCAAAAATCATATTTCAGTGAAAGTAGTACGATTATAATATATTATTTATAATATAGAAACAAGCTGTTTGGGAGTCATAGGAAGTGGGGGTGGAGAGGTTGCTACAGTTAGGAGTGATCAGGACTCTGTACCACAGAGCAGACAGTGTCCCTACAAACCCAGGAGCCAGGCAGAAAGAGAAATCACACAC